AAAAAAAAAAAAAAATAAAAAAAAAAAAAAAAAAAAAAAGGCAAACAATTTAACAGAGATTGATTAGATATTTAACTTTTAGAAGTCCAAATTTATCATTTTCCCATACTGTTCCCACTACTGTATCTAGCTGTCTTTTATTTTTTGGCTGGATAATTCAACCCATAATTACAATTAATTTTAAACAACAGAACAAAAGAACGTTGGAAGTCACTTTACTTGAGTCATTTACAACCACCAAGAAATTCAGAAAACTGGGAAGAAGAACCTAAGAGGTGATTCTAAAATGATGCAAAGGGCACTAGAAGTTAATTTCCATATCTAGGTTGTAAATATGAACCAAGCCTTCACATGACAGTAAATCAAACACTGCATCACAGTACAGGAATGCAACAAAAGGCACCCAGCCACAAAATAATCTGTTTCCTTAGAGAAAGTCACTGAATCATCAGGAGCTTATGTTAGGAGGGGACACCAAAGGAGGAGCACATTCACTTTCCCATGAAATGTGTTCAGCTTTTCTCAGCCTAAAATAAACTATATGCATTTGCAAAAAGATGGAAATTTCCAAGGCTCCTCTTGCCACAAAAAATATTAACGAATCAAGTAATTTTAGGCCTCAATGAGAATTCTAAAATAAACTATTAAATGAACCTTTAAATATTTTCAAAATATAAACTACATACTAAGGGTTCTTAAAGCAGTTAAAGTAATCCCAAGTCTCCAGATGGCACATATTCCTAACCAGAACACTATCTCTATAGAAACACAAGATGAAAATAATAATGGGTTTTTATATAACCCTATAAAGTTTACAATTCTCATTTAAGCCTCACAAAAAATATTGTGAGATGAATATTAAACGTATTATTCCCCATCTCATGCACAAAGGAAAGTTGCCTTCAGAAGGGAAGTCAAGTGACTTGCCCATCCTCACCCAGCTAGTGTAAGTGACAAAGGAAGTCAGTGACTTTGGTCTTCCAGCCCCCAACTCTAACTCCCAAGATATGCTGCCTTTTAACCATGTGCCTTTATTTTCACTGCTTTCTCTCTGCTAGCACTTGGATCTGTAGAAGCATAGCAAAGATATCTGAGAATGTCAATCAGCATTCAAAAGAATTTTTCTGGGGGAAGCACCTGAGAAATTTGAATTCTGTGAGAGAACAGCTACTTATCAGTTACTCTACTAGTACTTGACTGCTCACTAGCAGAACAAATGGCCTAAAGCTCCTTTCTAACTTTCACAATGAAATCACAACTGAAAAGTCATCTTCAAGCATTACATGATCAGATATGTTACTTACAGAGGGTGATAGTTAAATCTGTAGGTACTATGTTTTCATACAATAAAAGTAACTAATTCACATTTACATAGAACTTTAAGGTTTACAAACAGTAATCCTTGGAGGTAGGTAACACAAGTGTTAATATTCCCATTTTACAAATGAATAAGCTGAGGATCATCAAGATTAAATGAGCTGCCAGTGGTCATAGAGCTATTAAGAGTCAAAGGTGAGGTTTGAATTCAGGTCTCCCTGTTTCAAGTACAGCCTTCTTTTCATTACCGCACAATGATGTAAAATATATTCTAAGAACCCTGGCAGGGGCTGAGAGTATAGAAGGTGGCCACTGTCAGAACAAAACTAACCAACTCAATGAACATTTCCCAAACCTCACAGCAACCAAAATTTGAATCTCTTCCCTGAATTTGTCTTAACAGAAAGCTGCTAACAGATACTAGGATAAAGTTTACCTCTAACTCCCATCCTTACTAATAAGCACAAAACATTGGTCTGGACAATACTGAGTTAGAGGATTCTATGCACTTGTACAAACAAGTCTAGGACAGTAAGATTTCCATACTAGAAAAATAAGATGAAAAATGTATATGTGTGTTGTGCAAACTAAAGCATGAATCTGAACTCACAGTTCTCAGTTAATCCATCAGCATATAAATACATAAATTGGCTAATTCAAGAATTAATGAGGACAAAATCTGACTGGATCATATCAAAGAAGTTATACAGTGACTTGATTACAATATTCTCACCGTCACAAAAGTTATCTTTTAAATAACAATGATTTCCTAATGAAGCCATAATGGCTATGAATAATGATACACCATGAACTTGGGAGAAATCAAAATCACAAAATTTAAAAAAATATATATTATAGGTACAAATAAGATGCTCTGTAGTAACAAAGATGACCTGCAAGTGAGAAGAGGTATAAAAGACATGTCTGAAGACATGTAGGACAGAAGAAAAAAAAGAAAAAAAAAAAAGAGGTGAGACAGTCATGTTGCAAAAATGAGAGGCAACTGATAAATCAAATGACACTTTGATATCCCAGAAATAACAAAAGAACCAACAGAAGGCCTCTAATGTATTTGGTAAATTGTTCTATTAAAGACCTATGGAACTACATAGGCAAAATGGCATGGAAAGTTTGCAGTATGCATCAGTGAAGAAAGTACTCACCCAGATGATATCACAGCTCTATCACAGTAGATACAAGGGTTATTTATAGGCTACCCATGAATGCAGTAAAAATGCATTTGAACAGCAGGTAAGCTGCTCTCTTCAAAAACTCCTTCAACTCAAGAACTACTGAATGCAATAGAGCCATTGACACTTTTATCTCTGTTTATTTAATTCTGCCTAGAACTTGTCATTCTAGTTTGGGAAGATGATTCTGAGAGGCAAGTAATATCTCTAATTCAACAATTCTTTCACTTACACTTCCAATACATCCTGCAAATCACTACCACATCCTACATTACTTCAATCATTAATTCATTATTTATATTTCTTACTCTTCTGCTCACATATTTTCAGTGACTCCCCATCAACTAATAGGCTACAGTCTATTATTCTTTAGCCTAAAATTCAATGCCTTCTACAGTTCAGACTCTATCTAGCTTTCCAATTTTATCTATAGCTTCTCCCCTAGAAGTTAGGCCAACTAGCCAGGCCTACTCACTGGCCTCTGCTCATAATATGTATGTTTTCACTTCTGTGCCTTCATTCATTACCTTCTCACCGTTTAACCAAATTATCACCTCTCCAAATCTTTCAAAGTCCAGTTTATGCCCAACCCCTTTCATGAAACTCTTCCTTTGAACTCTCATGCTACATATTGTCTGTAGCTCATGTGACACTTCAATACAAGCCATGTGATTAATTCTGTGTCTTCTGAAATAGATATTAAAGTTCTTGCAGACAGTTGTATTCCTTTGCATTCCCCACAGTGCTAGGTACATTATAGACACTGAGCAAATATCTGTCAAATGAATAAAATAAAACTAGCTTTTACCTGAACTGTGACAACAGCTGCTCCCTGGCATTTCCTGCCGCTGCTGCCCCGACACTCCAGATGCAAAGTGATCTGCTCTTCTCGATTAACGTACTGTTTGGGAATGGCATCCAACAGCTCACTGTCCAGAGCAACTTGCTGCGACTCCCGAAGGGCTGCGGTTCTGAAAAACATCATCAGGACATCAAATAAAGCACTAGCAAAAATGTACTCCAAAGACAAATGTTGATCATCAGGCCCTCCCTGAGGCCACTAAGAAGGGTACCATCAAGGAACCCAGCAGGACAGACATGGCTTCCAACTTTTTAATCAAAGACTAAAGGGATTTGCACAAGGGTAAACAGAGATTTACAATCACAGTCTCTGCCTTCATACATAATTTTGCTGGTTGACTGTAAGCTAATAGTCAGCAGGTCATTTTTCCCCTTTTAAAAAAACTGAGGGGGCAGCTAGGTGGCACAGTGGAGAGAGCACCAGCCCTGAAGTCAAGAGGACCTGAGTTCAAATCCAGCCTCAGACACATAACACTCACTTAGCTGTGTGACTCTGGGCAAGTCACTTAACCCCAACTACCTCACACACACAAAAAAAAATTGAGATAACTGCCCTTAATCCCCCTTTTCCAAAATTCTGAATCTCTACAGAATTTGCCAGATGTTCCTCTTCTAAGAGAAAATTCCACCAAATGTTTGGATAACTCAAGTCCACATTGCTACTACATTCGGTCTATTTGCCAGATTTATGATTCATTCATATCCTTCATCTTGCTGGGCAGTCAGTAGAACAGCATATAATCTCACTGTAATATCACTTAGTATGGGCAACTAGGTGGCCCAGTGGACAGAGCACCAGGCCTGGAGTCAAGAAGACCTAAATTCAAACTTGCTCTCAGATACTTACTGGCTGTGTGATCCTGGACAAATCACATCTGTAAAAATGAGCTGGAAAAGTAAAGTTGTATCTTTGCCAAGAAAATCCCAAGCAGGGTCACACAAAGGGTCAGATACAACTGACACAACTGAATAACCAATATCACTTAAATTCCTCTCTCTTTTTACTCTTGCCCAAATGCTTTCCATGCTGCTTCCTCTCAGGCTTGTTGAAGTCTATAAAAAAAATACTACTTTGCTGAGCTACACTACCATTTTGGATCCCCTCTATCAGATCTACTTCTTCTGAATAAGATATATACTTCAATTGGCATAGTCCCTTTTTAAGTCTCATCCCACTAACTCTTGGTGAAACCTATGAGGCAATGTTTATCTCTCTTGTCTTAAAAACTCAATCTCATTCTATTTATACACAATGCATTGCTATTTATGCATCTAAACCCATTAGTATTATTCCTAACCATGTTTCCAATTATTTCTCTTCTAAATAACCAGGCAACATATATACTATGTTGACAGACAACTTTGCAAAAAATACTTCCTTCAAGAAAGGAAGTCTTTAACTTACAGTAAAATAAAGACTATAAAATGATGAAGGCTGGCTCTTTTGCAGTGGGCAAAGTGAAGTTATTCTGTATATGGCCCCTTCTTACAAAAATGTTCCTCTTTGTCCATCTTGTAGATGTCCCCTTAAAGGAACGGGGACAGAAAAAGCATTTATACAGATCTAATATATGCCAGGTGTTATGCTAAGCATTTTTTACAATTATTATCTCATTTGACCCTCACAACCCTGCAAGATGGTAGAGTATGAGTGGAGACAGCATGGGGTAGTATGGATAGAAAGCTGGCCTCAGAAGCCAGAAGACCTGGGTTCAAGTGCTTCCCACTTGTGCCTCTGATACATCCTAGGGGCTGTGTGACCTTGAACAAGTCACTTAATCTCTCAGTGCCAAGAAACTTCCTAAGACTATAAACTGTAGAGACGGTGCACCTTATTCAACTTTTACAAGAATGAAAAAGTTTTGGTTTTTTGTTTTTTTTTTACCTAGGACAAATAAGTAACAAGAATTTTTTAAAAATCAAGACAAAAAGCATTTTTTATTTTAACATTTGTCTTCAAATACTATTCACTTGGGGGCAGCTAGGTGGCGCAGTGGATAGAGCACCGGCCCTGAAGTCAGGAGGACCTGAGTTCAAATCCGGCCTCAGACCAAACACTTCACACTTACTAGCTGTGTGACCCTGGGCAAGTCACTTAACCCCAACTGCCTCACTAAAAAATAAATAAATAAAATAAAATAAAATAAAAAACAAATACTATTCACTATCTACCAATGGGTAATCTACATAAAGATACAACAAAGATCAGAAACAAATATCAGAAAAACTGAGTTGGTTTTAGCTGGCACCTGAATTGTTACCACTTGAAACATAATAAAATGTACAGTCCCTATGAATGTGTGCAATATTACTTCAGTTTTTTAAAATAAATGAAGAGATTTGTCACAACTTGAGCATTTAAACTCAGTTACTCAAATCTGTTTGGTCAGTGCTCCCAGGCTGAGCCCACTTCAGGTGCTAAATCATTTGGGCTACGTGAGTAGTATGAAGAGGAGAGACATTTCAATTCATCATCTTACTTAGCATGCTGCTGCAAGAGATTCAGGTCTGGGCGTATAAGCTGCATAGTTTCCTTCTGATTGAGCAAACTAGTTGAGGAAATGATGGGCACTGGAGCTTTCAGTGCATGCAGAACAAGGGGAGGATGAGGAGCCTCATGTTTCTTCAAGTTACTCAAAATCCTCTCTTTGGCTGAAAAAAATAAGAGAATCAAAACCAACAAACCTTAACTACATATGAAGCAAATGACAACAGAAGGTGTCTTAACATTACTTCCTATCATTAAGAATCATAAAAATATAAAATATCTATTTGAATACAAATCATCAGAATGAGCAAATGTAATATTTTCTGACTTAGTCAACAAATCCTATGTGAGCAGCCACAAGGTAAAAAACATTTTAGTAGAAGCTCAGGAGGCTGTGGTTAAAAATTAACTATGACCTCATATTCAAAAAATGTATAGTTCAATCAGAGGCAAAATAGGCTAAAAACAGGGCATGGACAGATAAATGCAATATTTGTAAAAATGTTTTGAAGTGGGAAAGGAAAAAATAACGTAGGAAAAGTAGAAAATGGCTGGTGTTTAAACTTCATGGACTAAATGGGCACTCAGCGGTAATTCAAAGGGAAAGAAAGTGTTCTGTGGCATGTGACTGCCTAGAAAGATTCCTGAAAGTAGAGTTGGAAAGACCAGTTGCACAGGTAAAGAGTGAAAAAATATGCCTGAAACAGAAGATTAGGGCCATGGGTTATAAAAGATAAGTTCACAGCCTTTAGGAGGGAGAGAGGGAGAAGGAGAGAGAGAGACAGACTTTAAGGACAAAGTTTGAAGTGAATTCAATTAAATATTTATTATTAAACACTTACTATATGAAAAACATGTACTGGGGACTAATGAGCTAAAAAAGTAAAGCAAAATAAATGACACGTTACACTTCCATTTATATAGTGTCTCACAATTTAAAAAGCCCTTTTCCTCACAATTGTGTGTTATGTCATATCGGATACATGAAGATATGAACATGTAATATTAAAGCACTTTAGAATTGTACAATATAAGGGAGCATATAACTATATATCTTGTTGTTAAAATTGTTTCATAAATATCGGTCTAGTCTCTCTAACTGGAGAGCAAACTTCTTGAGGTCAAAGATCATATCATATACCTGTATGCCTCCATAGCTCCTAGCAAAGGGCAAAATGCATTGTAGTACATTTAATAAATGCTTATTGATTGACTGACAATTTAACTACAAGATCACAGATTTAGCATAAACAATTCTCTGACACAGAACTGTAGCTCTGAATACATTTACATCAAGTCCAAAAAAGATTTGGTGATAATAAGTGATATTCCCAAGAAGAAAAAGGCTAGATCTGGAAAATAATTATATGGAGAGAGACAAAAGACTACGAAAGGATTTGTCATACTGAGGTCCTGGGCTTGGGGAATATGTTATTATGAAAGTTAGGTAGTAAGGAAGGCTTATATGAGAAAGGTAAGACCTCTGTATGCCACAATCAGTCAAAAAAATATTTATTAAGCACATACCATCAAGCACTATGCTAAGTGCTAGGGACACAAAGAGAGACAAAAAACAATTCCTGTTCTCAAAGACCTTTGTCTAATGTGAAAAAACACGCAAAGAGCTATATAAAACAAGTTATACATGGATATATTAGAAATAACCAGTAGAGGAAAGACATTAAGATTAAGGACTGGGAAAGGTATCGTGCAGAAAGTGGGACTTTAGTTGAGACTTGAAAGAAGTAAGGAAAGGCAGGAAATGGAGACAAGGAGGGAGGCAGTACCAGGCTTGGGGGACAATCAGTGAAAATGTAATCAGAAGTTGGGAGAAGGAGTATCTAGTATAAGAAACAGCAAGTAGGCCAGTGTCACTGGATCACAAAATATATGGATGGGTATAAGATGTAAGAAAACTGGAAAAATAAAAAGGGTCCAGGTTATGAATGACTTTAAAAGCCAAACAGAGGATTTTATATTTGATCCTGGAGGTAACAGGGAGCCACTAGAGTTTACTAAATGGAGTGGGGGCATGTGACACAGTCAAACCTGCACTTCAGAAAGATCAGTTTTAGAGGCAGGAGAAGATGGACTGGAATAAAGACAGACTTGACATAGGGAGCCCAAGCAGCAACTATTGCAACAGTCCCAGCAGGAGGTCATAAGGGTCTGCACCAGCATGGCAGCATAGTTAGAAAAGAGAAGGGGACATACATGAGAAATGCTACAAAGGTAGAATCAACAGGACTTGGCAACTAATTGAATGTGGGGTAGGGGAAGTGAGAGAGAGTGAAGGAGTCAAGGATGACACATCAGTTGTAAGCCTGTGTGACCAGGAGAATCCTCAACAGTAATGGGAAAATTAGGGAAAGGGGAGATCTTGGGAGGGAAAGATAATAAATTTAGTTTTGGACATGAAGAGAGTTTAAGATATCTGCGCGTTGGAGAGCAATCTGGAATTATACCCAAAGAGTTATAAATCTGTGTATACCCTATGACCCAGCAATATCACTATTAGGTCCCAAGGTGACCAGGGAAAAAGGAAAAGAACCTAAATGAAATAAAATATTAACAACACCTCTCTTTGTGGTGGCAAAAACTGGAAACTGAGAGGATGCCCATTAAATGGAGAACGGCTAAACAAGCTGTGGTATATGACTGTGATGGTACACTATCATGCTATAAAGAATGATGAGCTCGATGATCTCAGAAAAACATGGAAAGACTTGCATGAAATAATGAAAAGCAAAATGAGCAGAACCAAGAAAACTGTTGTATACAGTAACAGCTATACTGTTCAAAGAACAATTGAACAACTAAGTTATTCTGAGTATCATAAATACTCAAATCAACCACAAAAGATCTATGAAGGAAGATGCTATCCACCTCCAGAGAAAGAACTGATAAATAGAAGTATGCATAGTATGATTTTAGAACCTAAAATGTAACAATAAATAAATTAATTAAATTAAATTTTAGAAAAAGAACAACATGTTGGAATAAGCAGTTGAAGATGCTGAGGCTGGAAGTCAAGAGAGAGGTTAGGGCTACTGAAACAGATCTGAAAATCATCTGCATAGAGACAAGAATTGAATCCATGGGAGCTGCGAAAATCATCAAGTGAAATACTAAAGAGGGAAAAGGAAAGAGATCCCAGAACAGAACACTGGAGGACCCACCTTGTTAGCAGGTGTGACCTGGATGAACTCACCATAGTGAATGTGAAGTGTGAGCAAACACTGTCATTTCCTAAAGTTAGACATGAAACAAATTTCAATCTTCAAAATAAACACAAATATTTACTGAGCCAGTCACTATGTGCTAAGTATTGTAATATCTATAATTACTGAAAGGAGAAGAGTCTGGGATAAACAAATTTGGAAGTCATCCACATACAGGTTAAAGAAAAAAAATGAGTTTCTCAAGACTGAGTAGAAAGACAAAGCATAACAGGATCCAAGACAGAGTCTTGGTAGACATACATTCAGAAGGAGTGAGAGGAGCTAGTTAGAAAAAATCTCCTACAAATATTTCATTTTTAAAATGTTTTTTGAAATAACAGAGAAGGGAGAGTTCAAGGCAATTTCAAGTCATTAAGTCAAGTCAACAATTATTTATGAAATGGTTTCTCTGAAACTTTACTTTTGTTCCAGATGGAGCTCTATTTTCTATTCTTTTTGAGAAACAGAAGGAAATTTTTGTTAAGCATGACTCTATTGGCATAAAGGAAACTGTATTGTTTATGCCCTCAAAGAACTAAAATTTAATGCTTTATATTAAGCCAGTGTTTTTCCACTGAACAGCACACTAAGATACCACAATATGGGCACAATCATCAATGGTCTAAAGTTCATAACTATTCCCACGTTAAAAGTTTTCTTTCTTTTAAATTAGTAAGGTCACTTGAACACAAGTTGATAAGAGGTCAACAGAAAAATTTTGGAACAATATGAATTACCAAACAAAGGAATTTAAATCCTAAATCTAATACTGACAGAATGGGAGATGTTCTATCTCTGAATTCATTCACCTACAATCATTACTCTTAACTACTCTTCATTAAATTGTTAGCTCCTTGAAGGTGGGAACTGTATTTTCTCCTTCTGCATCACCAGCGCTTAGCACAAAGTCTGATATATAGTAGGGATTTCATAAATGCTTGTTGATTGATCAAACTATAATTTCTAAATGTTATGAAGCAACAAATGTCAATTAAAATAAATAAATATGATGGCTGAAAATTCCTATTTGCAACATTCTTGTTTTAAGGAGGTAGGGGGAGAGGGGATAAAGAAAAGAGAAAAAAAATTACAATTTCATTAGTATAGGAAACTTCAAATGAGGAAACTACCACTACCACTATGGATCAGCACCTGCTGAACAACTTAGGGTCTTAAGGAGTGCCTAAGGCACTACTGTAATTAGTATTAGTTGATTTGTGCCTGTAGTCAAAACCCAAAGTCATCCTTTGATCAAAGTTCCTTGTCAAGGCCAGTTCTACATGTGCATCCCTCTACACTCCATTCCAAACAACCAATTCTTTCTTTATTCTGTTCAAACATGTCCAAGTCTCTTCCTTCCTTAAAATATCTTCATCAGACCTTTCCATCCCCTCAAGCTATCATCCTTTATCTCTTTTCTCTTTCTTAATCAAACTCTTTGAAGACATTACTCCCATTCATTGCCTTCAAAACCTCTACTCTCAACCTTTTACATTTTGGCATTCACCTTTATCATCCAACTGAAAGTGCTCTCTCCAACATTACCAATGACATACTGATTGCCAAATACCAGCATTATCCTCTATTCCCCCTCATCCCATATCTCTAGTAAGTTGCCAAATTTTGTCTTTTCTTCCTAAACATCTCTTACATGTGACCTTTTCTCTTGACCTTCTACCACCTTAGTCCAAACCTACTGCAACAACCTTCTAAATGGTAACCCTGCCTCAAATCTCTCACCATTCTGGTCCATCCTACATACTGCTACCAAAGTGGTTTTTTTTTTAAGCACAAAACTGACAACATCACCACCATCACCTCAAAATTAAATAAATTCCAGTGGTTTCCTATTGCCTCTAGAACTTAAAAAAAAAAAAAAAAGAATCTCTTCTATTTAGCTTTTAAAGCCCTATACAATATGAACCCCCAATCTCCCTTTCCAGTCTCACTGGACACTATTCCCACACATACACACACTGTGCTAAGCCCTACCAAATTGACCATCTCTCTGCTTCTCATTTACAACCCTCCATCTCCTTTCTCTGTACCTTTGCAATGACTCCTTTCTTCCCTCCACTTCATACAGTCTCTCTCTCTCTCTTCCTTTAAGATGCAGCTCAGCATCTTCTGCGTAAGCGTTTCTTGAACTCCTTACTAGTGTTCTAGAACTGCTAGTGCTGTCTCACTAGCTATCTTATATTTAACTACTTTGTATGTATTTGTATTTATTGTATTTATTAACTTGATGATTGTGATTGTGTTTGTGTGTGTGTGTACTTGATATCTTCCTCATTTAGAATATAAACTTATTGAGAGTAGAAATTGTTTCATTCTTTGAACTTTTCTCTGCCTAGCACAATGCCTGACAAACAGTGAAGCCTTAATAAACACTTGTAGACTGACTGGGAAATAAAAATCATCTTTTATGAGTAGTTTCCTCAAAATCACAACAAAATTTCCCATTTTTTTAAGTAGCAAATAGAAAAAAATTAACTAAGAATACTGAGTTACTCAAGTGTTTAAATAATAAATTATAAAGAATAGAAACCATTTTAAAATACCTCAAGTTTTATAGTGCTGTCATAATATACATTATCAAGATAATCTCAAACCATAAGCAATTAATTAAAATTAATTGGAAGTACAAGAAACTAAATAATCTAAAATGCATTTAGTCCTATACTTTGCCAAGTACCACTAACTACTTCAGTCTTGTAGCATACTGCCAATATTCCCTTGAAAGAGTCATAAACAAGAAGGCAGAAGACCTGCTACTAACTAGCTATGTGACCTTGGACAACTATTTGATCTTCCTACTTCCTAAGCCTCAGTTTCCTCATCTTTATATCAGAGATAATAATATATTTTATCTACTTCATGGAGTTATTGGGAGTATCAAGTGAGATAAATTATTGAGGAAAATGTAAAATATTGCACAAGTATAAATTATTATTGCTAACAATGATAATAACAAAAATAAAAGATTAGAAAACAAAGTCTTCATTAAAAAGACTTGCCCACAATATAACAGAGAACAGAACTACTCTAGTCACCAATCTTTTCCTCTCAAAATAATATCTTTGAACGATACATATATAAATTTTTTTTTTTTTTTGCTTTTTGGTGAGGCAATTTAGGTTAAGTGACCTGCCCAGGGTCACACAGCTAGTAAGTGTCAAGTGTCTGAAGCTGGGCGAACTCAGGTCCTCCCAACTTCAAGGCCCGAGCTCTATCCACTGTGCCAACTAGCTGCCCCAAAATCTATATTCTTAAGAGATAAAAAAAATTCCATAAGATTTCATAGGATAAAGATTAGACATATTCTGGCCAGGTGAGATTTCAATAAATTTCCAAAAAGGCGATTATTATTTAGAGATCATATTAAGCAAACCCCAAATCCCCATGGTTTTGAAGAAGTTCATGATACTCACCTGACAAAGGATCAGTAAAATCCATCTGTACTGACAAACTGCTGGGTGTGGAATGAGATTCAAGTTTTACTTGAATCCAAAGATTGAGAGCTTCCCGAAATTCATGACGGATACGTTCCATGTTCAAATATTCCATCCACAAATCCTGGAATTGAACCACAATACAACTTTAACTTTGGAAGATGAATCACTACATATTTATAAGTTGTAAAACTTATTATATTAAAATGTACATAAGCCAATCGTTTAAATGAAGTAGGCTCCTTAAAAAGATCTCGCTCAAAGCTCCCTAACTTTAAAAATGGCCATATATAAAATTCCCACCCCATCAAAAACTTCAGAAGTAGGACATCTTCCCTATAGCACACTAAATCATTTCTGATTCTTTTTTTAAAACGAAAAATGTAAAACATCCCCTACCACTTCAGATGTTAGAGCCAGGATGTCTTAGAAATAAAATCTCAAACTAGGCCCTAATTCCTAGAAAAAAATAGAGCTAACAACAAATGTCTGCCATTGCAATGTTTGTTCATGTTAACCATGTAAAGGCACATCATCAATAAGAGACAGCATCATAGAGTGGAATGAGCAGACTTGGAGTACAATTACATGGGCTCCAATCCCCACCACATGCCACCAATGTGACTGTGGACAGGTTAGTTATCCTCTCTGGGCCTCAGTTTCCTCATCTATAAGACAAAGGGAGTATACCCACCAGGTGTAGGTCAGTAACCCAGGAAACTCCTACAAGCCTAGGACTTTTTCAATTCTTGGTGAAAAATATTCTCACAAAATTCTAAGTCATTAAAACCATTCCCAAGATGTACAAGGTATTCTAGACCAGGGATATCAAACTCAAGTAAAAATGGATGGATCTTTGTGGGCTACATATTGACTTAGAAAACTACAAAGTAACATTATGTTTTATTGCATTTTTATTTGTTAAATATTTTCTTTTTTTTTTTCCTTTTTTTTTTTTAAGCAATTGGGGTTAAGTGACTTGCCCAGGGTCACACAGCTAGTAAGTGTCAAGTGTTTGTCTGAGGCCAGATTTGAACTCAGGTCCTCCTGACTTCAGGGCCAGTGTTCTAACCACTGCGCCACCTAGCTGCTGTTAAATATTTTCCAACTACATTTTAATCTAGTTCAGGCTACCCTCAGGAGTTTTGCAGGCCACAAGCATGCCTCCTCTGTTCAAAACTAATCTGATTTACACCTTTAAAGAGGCACTGCAAAGTATAATCCTCTGCTGGAGTTTTAATTCAAATATAAAAGTACACTACTGATACTAGTGTGCTACCCTCTCCCTAATACTTCCTGTACCTACAGATGACATCTCTTTGAAGTAGTCACATTACCTACATATTTATGCCGAATAAGAATATCTCTATATGCAAATGAATAGTTGTTAAGAAAAAATAGTGGTGGCAAACCAATCTATTATCATTAATAGAGCCTCAGCTGGAGCACAAGAACTGTAGCAAGACCCAAGCATTCATACCCAAGGAGACAACAGTTAGAAGGAAAGCAGTTCAGTTCTACAGAAACTGTGTACTGATAGCCCTCAAAGAGCAATGGAAGTGAGACCAAGAATTGAGCGCAGCCCATGGAGAATAACAACTGGTCCAGAACAGATCAACCACTACTTCTGATATGGAGGAACTCAATAAAAGTCCAGCTTGGACCAAGTGTAGAAGAAAGGCAGAACCAGATTTTTCAAGTAACCAGAGAGAAAACCTGGGCTTGGAAAAACTACAAAGAAACTATCACAAATTGGAGGTCAATAGGACTTACTTCCTATTAAATTGAGTTCTATACCTACATTATATAACACTCATCTAATTAGTTTGTACTCTTGTAAATCCACATAACTGTAATAAAGCACTTTAATCATACTCAAGTTGGCTGGCCTGAAAGTATGTTGCAGTGAAAACTTAGCATAAGAAAAAGGACTAACAAAAAGAGGAGGCTTATATGGGTTCATGAGGTCATAATACACAGAAAGTGTCCCCAGCCCTCCGGGAAGGCCACAGTTGTCATCAGTGCTTCAAAAAGAGACATTCTAACACTGACATGTTAACTTACATGAAAAAAAGCATAATGTGGACCCTTGGCAAAACCCATAGAAACTAAGACCATTCAAGCCCCACGGCCATATTTAACAGACATCTTTAACCTCTGGATCAATACATTTATTTATTCCCATAGTAACAAATTCAAATTATTGTCAGATATCCTAAGAGGTAAACAAAATATTGTAATAAAATCACCTGTTGATTCTGCATAATCTTTGCTAGTCTGTGTGTATCATATTGCTTTGGTAGTGAAGGAATATAGGTGTCTCCCTTCTGAAAGTTCTCATCTTCTAGCCATAGTATAAATACATTGAAGAGCCTAAAAGATTAAAAAAGAAACAGAAAAGCATGGGTAAAATGAATTATACCTCTCTTTACACAGAAACTACATTTTATCTAGTGAATAAAATAATAAGAATCAGGTACCCAGAACTAATAATAATTCACTATGTTTTAATTTTCATTATGCCCATTTCTCTTTCTCTTTGGGACTATCTTTACCCATCTAAAAAATAAAGCTAGGCAAAAAGTGATGGATAAAGGTGATCTAAAGTAAAACTTTGAATGATAATTCAGACTCTTTCCTTTCCTTGGCAATCAATGACACTGAGCAAGCCATCATGCAGAAAAACAAAACACAACATGAAAACATATGTATTCTCCCTCTATTCCAGGATGAATGCTGAAAGCCAAATATATTATCTGGAAAATTTTTCTATTGTACCTTATCAGTTGCCAAAAAAAATTTTAAAAAGCTAACTACCAAAAAGAATTATGATTGCAATTTAATTATAAATCTGTGAACTTTTCTTTCATAAATGGGTATGACAAAAAGAAATTCTTCTAATTTTATGTTCTAAATGTTTTAAGTAGTACTTTATGAAAAGATAATCTACTTAACTGAAGAAGACTTCTTGTTAGTAAAAATAGGTTATTGGAGAAGTAGCCTATGATATGTAATTAGTTAAATAAGCTCCTAATTTTAGCAGAGAAAGGAGGGGATGGTGTCATTCTTTCTATAAAGTTGAAAATTACTTCCTTCTGATTTCATAATCAGAAGGGACATAAGCTTTCTACACTTAATATCACTATACAGCATCCACTTTTAGCTTCTGACATAAAGAAATGGAAAAAGGGATAATAATCAATTAATAAGCATTTATTAATTATCTAATTGTTTGGCCCAAAGGAAAAAAAAAAATCAGTCTCTGCACAGAGTTTGGATTCAGTCAAAGGGCTGTACTTGAGGACCTAGAGGGCCACAGGTGGTCTCCAGGCTGCAGGTTCCCCATCCCTGGCCTACGCCAGTCTACCCTTCCTTGGGCAACCTGGTGACCCCTCCACTGTCAGGGACCACCATAGTGACACCTGACTTGAATAGACATCCATCTAGCCCACTGAAGCTCAGATCTCCTGAGCTCAAAGATCTGTAGCATCAGCCTCCCCAGGAGCAGGGATTATAGGCTGCACCCTCACACCAGCTAGAGAGCTTTTTCTAGAGATCAGACTGAGAAAGGAAAGATTCATAACATATGATAGCTTGAAAGGATGGCAGGGTCAGGCAAGGTTTTTTAAGCATGGGCAAAACCTGAATGTGTCTACAGACAGAAAGGAAAAAAAAAAACAGAAATAGCAAGAGACTGAAGATTAAAGAAAGTAGGGGAATGACTGTGGGGACAATCTGAAAAGACAGGACAGGGATGGGATCAAGGATGTTTGTGAAAAGGCTAGCCTTAGCAAGGGATGTGCTACCTCACCATCAGAGACTAAGGTAAAGGAAGAAAGAATGAAGGATAATGTCAAAGGCTAGTGAGATTTGGAGAAGCAGAGGGAGTTGATGGAAAATGGCCTCTCCTTTCTCAACAAAGAAGGAGGCGAGGTCTTAAGATGAGAGGATGGTGGAAGGGTTGGTGTGGGAAAAATGAGGACAGATGGGGAAAAAACCAAAAGGAGCAGAATATACATTCTTTAAAAAATCAGAAGTTTAAGAAACCTACTAAAGACTTCATTTTAATGAGTTTAAGCAACCTACAGCAAAAAAGGTTACCAATTGCTGATGTGGTAAAAAGTTGTCTATGGCTAGCTAACAGTAAGGTTACAGAGTTCAAGGCCAAAGCTAGTCTAAAGCCTTATAACGCATAAGCCTTGGGAAAATTGTGACATCAAGGTGAAATTTAGGTTAAGTTAAAGAGAACATTCTAATAAAGTATATAATATATGTGAGATTTGAGTAAACTTAAAAATTCCTAAGAAAAAATTATTGATTAGTGAGACACATATGATTTCTTCTCAAGCCTTGCTCCAAAAGTGACTTCTTTAATAGTTTAATGTTTAACTGCTTTAATAATGAAGTATTTTACTATTTAAAAAAAGCCAAAGACCACGCTAATCTTTTAAATATACTTAAAGTTTATACCATATGAAGTATCACATGTTAAACTACATGTTAAGGTTCAGCTTTTAAAATGTGAATAAATTTGTTTTGGAAGCTAAAATTACAAAACTAAAATAATAAAGTGACAACAAATGTGATAATATAAGCCTAAGATACAAAAATGACCAAGTAATCCTATAGGTTGGTCCACATCAATTGATTTTAATTAGATCCACACTGACTCCAAATATATGATCAAGCTGGGACCCTCTTTGCCAGACCTCAACAAATGCTTAACTGACTGCTGCTACTTTCCACATTCAGCAAATAACAGTAATAAAATAATAACATCCTGCAATACACAACAGGTGATATAACATCCTTGATGAAAGAAAACATTAGCTTACAAAGCTGAATATGCTTTACCTCACAAGTTCTGTATGCAGCTCTGGAGAAGTCAGATACCCTGCGGGAGAGGCATTGTTTTCACCTGGTCCTTCACTGCCATCTGCTGGAACTCGGAGGGCTTTACTGGCAGCATGATGGAAGTCAGCCACTTCAACCAGACGTTTCTTCATTTCTTTCAATAAATTTATGTGGGCTGGACTTTGAAAAAATCGTCTTCCAATACAACCATCTACAGGCAATCTTGAAAGAAATTAAAATAGGGTTCTATAAGCTATTTAATAAATCATTTTTTCTACTTAAAATCAAATGGTGTGAGTTCATTAGAGCTACCAAAGATAAAGGTGCATTCAGCAAAACTGAGATGCCCTACCATTATCTATAAATTAAGAAGTTTAGCAAGCATGGCTACACACAAACTGCCCTATTTATCTTACTGGGTTGTCATAAGGAAGAAATAAAATGATACACATCAAAGAACTTTTTAAAAAATATATAAATGCTGTACCAATTCAAAGTATTATCATCATCTTCACACCAAACTTTCATGTGTTGGGCTAATAAAACCTGACCTCTGCAATACATTCTGTACTATCTAGTCTCATTAGTTTTCTATACCCTTATTCACAAAGTATATATAAGGCTATAAGGATAAAGAGAAGGAAAGTAAAGTCCAAAGAGGATTCACAATATGAGGACACTCAAAAGTCAGAAAGTTGCAGAGTTAGGATTTGAACCCAAATCTTCTGGTTCCAAATTCAACACTCTGGCTACTGTTTATCTATTTTTCTGTTTTTTCTGTTTTGTTGTGGTTTTGTTTTTTTTTTGGTGAGGTAATTGGGGTTAAGTGAGTTGCCCAGAGTCACACAGCTAGTAAGCGTTACATGACTGAGGCCAGATTTGAATTCAGGTCCTCCTGACTCCAGGGCCAATGCTCTATCCACCCCTTGCTAGTATTTCGTTCAAAATTTTTGCATTGATATTCATTAGGGAAATCGGTCTGTAATTTTCTTTCTCTGTTTCAGCTGTTCCTGGTTTAGGTATCAATACCATATTTGTGTCATAAAGGGAATTTGGTAGGACTCCTTCTTTGCCTATTTTTCCAAATACTTTATATTGCATTGGAATTAATTTTTCTTTAAATGCTTGGTAGAATTCACTTGTAAATCCATCTGGCCCTGGAGCAGTCAATGACCATAGTAACCTAGTGTTCGTTAAATCCAACTTTTGGGATAAGAACTCATTATTTGACAAAAACTTCTGGGAAAACTGGAAAACAACAGCACACAAACTAAGTATAGACCAACATCTCACACCAGATACCAAGAAATGGTAATGTGGTTTGGGAGAGTTGTCAACTTTTTCACGGAATCTTTACCTCTTCATGATGTGCAAGAAATGTTGCTGCTATACAAGCTGTAATTATCTTTTTACACAGGCTCATCATGAGCACTGTTAAATGAGATGACCCAAGAAATGATTTGTTTAGATCTGCTTTTGTGTGAAGTGTTTTTTAATTGTGTTCATATAGGTTCCTGAGTTTGTCTTGGCAAGTAGACTCCCAAATATTTTATATTGTCTACAGTTATTTTAAATGGAATTTATCTCTTACTGCTAAGCTTTGTTGGTAATATATAGAAATGCTAATGATTTATGTGGATTTATTTTATATCCTGCAACTTTACTAAAGTTGTTAATTATTTCAACAAGTTTTTAAGTTGATTTTCTAGGATTCTCTCTCTTTTCACCCAGCCCCTCTTCACCAGTGTTTTACTTGTTGACCACTGCCTCCCATAATCTGCCCTTCCTTCTATCAGCACCCCCCCACACACACCCCTTTTCTTTTTCCTTTCCCCTCATACTTAGGGTAAGATAGACTTCTTTACCCAACTCAGTGTATATGTCATTCCCTCTTTGAGCCAATTCCAATGACAGTAAGGTTCAAACAAATGCTCACCCCCTCCCTTCTTCCCCTCTACTGAAATAGGTCTTTCATGTCTCTTCATGTGATATGATTTATCCCATTCTGCCTCCCCTTTTCCTCTTTCCCAGTACAATCCTTTTTTTCACTCCTTAATTTTTTTTATCATTACATCAAAGTGAACTTATACCCACACCCTCTAAGTATGTTCCATCTAACTGCCCCAATAGAGACACAGTTCTTAAGAATTACAAGCATCATCTTCCCATGTAGGGTTGTAAACAGTTTAACCTTATCAAATATCAACTTGGTTTTTTTTTTTTTCTGTTTACCTTTTATGCTTCTCTTGAGTCTTGTATTTGAATTTTTCTGTTCAGCTCTGGCGTTTTCATCAGGAAATTTTGAAAGTCTACTATTTCATTAAATATCCCTCTTTTGGCCTGAAAGAGTATGCTCAGTTTTTCTGGGTAGTTGATTCCTGGTTGTAATCTAAGCTCCTTTGCCTCTCAGAATATCATTTTCCAAGCCCTCCAAAACTTTAACATAGAAGCTGTTAAGTCCTGTGTAATCCTGACTGTGGCTGCCTGATATTTAAATTGTTCCTTTCTGGCTGCCTGCAATACTTTCTCTTTGATCTGATAGTTGTGGAATTTGGCTACGATATTCTTTGGAATTTTCATTTTAGGACCTCTTTCAGGAAGTGATTGGTGGATTCTTTCAATGACTATTTTACCCGCTGGTTATAGGATATCAGGGCAGTATTCCATGATGATTTCTTGAAAGATGCTGTACAGGCTTTTTTTTTTTTAATCTTGGCTTTCAAGTAGTCCAATAATTCTTAAATTATCTCTCCTGGATCTATTTTCCAGGTCAGTTGTTTTCCCAATGAGGTATTTTAGATTTTCTTACATTTTTTTCATTCTTTTGCTTTTGTTTGACTAATTCTTGATGTCTTATAGTCATTAGCTTCCACTTGCCCAATCCA